TGTCTTTCTTGGGCTTTGTGCATTGGTGAGTTAGATGACCAAGTTCTCCACAATTGTAGCAATCCATCTTAGAGATTGGCTTTCTTCTTGAGTTAGTGAAGAACTTTTTCTTCTTGTCATCAAACTTGATGCCACTCTTGTTTAGCTTCTTTAGCATCTTGGTGGTTTTCTTCACCATTAGAGCAAGGCTTGCATCATCATCTTCATCACCACTTGAGCTTTCATACTCAAGCCTTGCTTTGCCCTTCTCTTGGCTAGCTTTGAATGCTAAATCTTTTTCTTTCTTCTTTGTAGAGAATGAGCCATCTTGTGGTGTGATGTGCATGTACATCTCATGAGCATTGATCTTTTCCAATATTTGTGTTAGTGTAGCGGTAGAAAGATCACCTTGATGAAGCACGGTCACAATATGCCCATATTTGTCAATGAGAAGGACACTGAAGATCTTTCTTACAACATCGGATGGTTGCATTTGAGTGAGTCCAAGTCCATTGACTTCCTCTACAAGAACATTCAATCATGAATACATTTTATTAGCACATTCTTTAGGAAGCATTTCAAAAGAGTTAAGCTTTTTCATAACAAAATGATAGCGTTCCTCACGCTCACTCTTTGTTCCCTCATGGAGCGCATAAACGTCCGACCATGATGCATGGGCATCTTTGTGGTTTCTCACCCGGTTGAACACATCCTTACAAAGGCATCTAAATATGGTGTTTCAAGCCTTTGCATTTCATTTTTCGTAGTTCATCTCATCGCCTTCTGGGTGTGCGGCATCCCGAGATTTTAGGAAACCTTGTGAGACGGCTCTAAGTATTCCAACATCTAGAGCTTCTAGATACGCATCCATGCGGATTTTCCAATATGGAAAATCATCCCCCTCAAAGATAGGAGATCCATCCCCGTAAGACATCTTTCACTAGACGGTTAAGTCTAAATATGTGAGCACGAGGCTCTGATACCAATTGAAAGGATCAAGATGTCCAAGAGCTGGGTGAATTGGGCTAATTCTAAATTTCTTTGCAATAATTAAAACCTATGGTTAGCCCAATTAACCCCTTGTGCCTAAAAAGTGTTTCTAATTGTTCTACCGCACAAAGGACTTACAACCTATGTTCCAATCCTACTCTAGCATGGTAATTCTAAGAATGTAAATGACAAGAATTGAATTGCTCAAAGTAAATGCACAAAGTAAACAGAGGAGAAGGAACACGGCGATGTTTTGCCGAGGTATCGGAGAGTCGCCATTCTCCACTAGTCCTCGTTGGAGCACCCGTGCAAGGGTGTAGCTCTTCCTTGATCCGCGCAAGGATCAAGTGCTCTCTACGGGTTGATTCTTCGATACTCTATCGCGGTGAATCACCCACAACCGCTCACAACTTGAGTTAGGTCATCCACAAGCTCTCTGGATGATCACCAAACTCCAAATCACCACCAAGCCGTCTAGGTGATAGCGATCACCAAGAGTAACAAGCACGGACTCTCACTTGACCACACAAAGCCTAGGGAGAAGGGTGGATGCACTTTTTGCTACTCTTGATCTCACTAATGAGGGCTCTCTTTGGGATTCTCAAATCTCAATCACCTCACTAGAACCTTGCTCTTCTTGGCACTCTCAAATGTGTTTCTCAGCTGTTGGAATGAGGAAAAGTACCTCCACACACAAGTGGAGGTTGTATTTATAACACCGGTTGAAAAAGAACCGTTATGTGCCTCTGCGGGGTGACCGGACGCTCCGGTCAGTTCTCCCTGACCTCCAGTGTTTACAGTGTGACTGGACGCTGGACAGCGTCCGGTCGCAATTTTCCCTCTCTGGAGCCTTACTGGAGTCGACCGGACGCTGGTTCTCAGCGTTCGGTCACTTCACCACTCAGCGTCCGGTCGCACCGGACGTTTTCACCTTGGTCAAATGAACTGACCGGACTCTGCGCCAGTGTCCGGTCAAACCGGAACCAGTGTCCGGTCAGTATTTGACCCTCCATTCACTTCCAACTCTCGATCATATGTGAATGAAGTTTGCTCCAATGGATCTTAGGCATATTTAGGAGCCACCTAGTGCTAGTTTTAACAAGTGTGCACCACACCTAACTCACTAGACTCACCTAGGTCAAGCTACCCATCCATACCCCCCTTAATAGTACGACCAAAGGAAAAACAAAGTCCTAAACTACTCTAAGTGTCTCTCTAACTCCAAATGACACTTAGAACTAGTCTATCCTTAACCTTATCGTCTATCCTTTGAAAACCGAAACGATTTCCATCGTAGGGGCATGAACACCATGATTGCCCAATCGATCTCCATTACCGTGGCCTAACTTAATTGTCTCTGCAAAACACACGTTAGTCACAGTAATCATGTATTATCATTTAATCACCGAAACCCAAGTAGGGGCCTAGATGCTTTCAACAACATTCTAAGTCATCCAGTGAATATAAGACCATGGCAGAGTGCTTTCTCACTCTTACTGGAACTTGTTGAGTGATGTAATACATACAGAGATAGTCTTGCTCACCAGAAAAGAGGTGTTTTGGGGCTACGATGCCACACCTTGAGGTATCTTTACTATGGGATACAAAAGTGTTTCCATCCTAGAATGGATTGAGAACAATGTGGTGGTGAGGTCAAAGCAAGACTAGTAGCACAAGGGGTTTACGCAAAGCCCAGGCATTGTTTTTCAATGCTAATTATTCTCCATAGTTTGCGTTATAAATTTTTATACTATTTTTTGATTGACAGTACAAAAGCATCTATCTTTGCAGTTGATAGTTGATAGATGTAGTGATTGCATATATTTATATGATTACTTGATTTGGTGTGTTTGTGAAGTTTCCGGGAAGGAGTTCACATACCCAACACTCATACATAAAATCACAACATATATTGTGTATCGCTTAAGTCAATATATGACTTAAAGCAGTTAAGTCAAATTTGGTACAATCGACTTTGTGTGTATTCCTTAAACTAAAGGGATACAAGATTGATTACATGTGGGTGTTCATTTTGAAGTCCTTGATTGGATTTCATAGTATCATATGATGGTCAATAATCTTGACATCATCGGTGATGAACACATGTTAGTAGCACGTAGTAATATAAAGACGGAGTTTGAGATGAAAGATACGGACTAAACAAAAATTTTATTTTGTATTTATGATCCAAGCATCTTCTCTTAGGATTTTATACAAAAGTTATCTACATCTAGATCATATTGAATGATTCAATATGAAGGTATCCTATGGTTCTACCTCTAGAAAGAGGAAGATTGTTTTATGCCATAGTGATTGAGATGAGATAATGGGACATGTGGTCCATTATCTTTGTGATATTGATGCGCTAATGTATCTTGCAAAAGTACCTGGTCAGATATTATTTTTGCAATAATTTGCTATCTACAAGCAGCGTTGTTCCTACCAAATGTTAGTGCATTTGAGTTAAAGATATCTTTTGGTATCTTAGTAGCAAAAGTGATCTTGGTGTGTTCGTTTGGAAGAACCCATGATCTAGTTGAATATAAGATCGTTGAAAGGCTTAATGTATATGTGGAAAGACCATTTTGTGGCAGTCTTTGAATAGACATTAGTGGTCACTTCCACCAATCATTCTGATAATGTATTGTATAAGACTTCACATGAATGTGTATAGCTTGACAGAATGATATATCACATACTGAAATTATGTGATATTGATTTTATTGAATCGATGGTCATTATCTATAAAGATAATACAGTTTGTGTTGTGTAGATGGAAACAAGTTATACTTAGTGTAATGTTTGTTAATAATTTGTGCACTAAGATGGTTCTGTTCCATAGGTAATATGGGCATATGAACATTTACAAACTAAGTATTGTGATAATCTTGCAGAGATATTCACAAAGTCTACCATACTCCACATTTCGTATGTGTTGAGGGCATTGATATGAATTGACTTTGAGATTTAAAAGTATCAGGGGGAGAGTCTCTCTGATTGATAACTTGTTATAAACATCATATTATACTCTTTTCTTTATATGAGTTTTTCCTTGGGGTTTCTCATATAAAGTTTTTAATGAGGCAATATCAACACAAAGTTATGTCATATCATCCATTTTTTCACACAGGGGTTTTTGAGGGTGATATTGTGACATAAAATGCATTGCGCTCTTTTCTTTGAGTGAGCTTTCCATTTATGGTTTCTCATATAAAGTTTTTGATGAGACAATGTCAACATAAAGTTATATGCTTATCATATATTTTTCCCCACCTGGGTTTTTGAAAGATGATATTTGGCGCATATTGACCATATGGTCAAGGTGTTTCTAGACTGAGGCTTTGGGTTTATCTCAAAGAGTCTAATAACATTGATGATTGTTTATCATGGTGTTTCTCCTTATTTTTCCCACTGGAGTTTAAGGAGTTTTTCCTGGTATACCGATATTACTTTAGTTTTTTCCATAAGTTTTTTCAAAGATTTATAATGATGCATGATGGGTGAACAGTGAAGCATACAAGGAGTTAATTGATGGAGGTGTTGAAAATTATTATTAATGATCAAATAGGGATTAATCCCCCAGGGTGTCTTTTCACTCTCTCTGTCTCTCTCTATGACTTGTAACTGTCTATTTGGGCTCCTATATATATATATACATACTGTTCAAAGGAATACACATAGAATCATTTGCACACTCGCTTTCTCTCGCTCTCCACTTGTAACAGATTCATCACCGGAAAGAACGGCCTTAGAAGACTAATATAGCTTCCTTTATATTTTGCAAAAGCATGTACCATATGCGCATATTCCCAGGGGAGGCAGCCGTATCTGGCTCGCGAGTACAGGTTCATATAACACGACCGACATGCATACATACAACACATTACGTACGTACACAAAAGCACAAGATATATACCGTATACATATGAGCGATCGAGTAATAGCCTACAGAGAATAGGTGAACAAAAGTACGTATATACGTGACCGCCACTTATTTTTTTTCTCTGCAGTACTTGTGATTCGAAGCCTTTTTAATTGCGCATCCAGAGCATGCTGTCCTGGGGCAGGAAGTGGCACACTGGCACGCTCCCCGGCGCCACCCCGAGCTTCTTGTACGTCGGCCAGGAGATGCCGGGCGACGCGTCCTTGTGGCACGCCGTCCGAGCATCGGCCTTGGTCCCGTCGGCGCCGGCAAGGGTCACCGTGTACAAGGTGGCGGTGGTCGTGTGGCATAAGAAAACGGCGTAGGGGTAGGGCATGCGGTGGCAGGCCACCATGTCCCCGCCGGACACCGGCGTGGGCCTGACAGAGTCCACCACGTACACTTGCCTCCAGGACCTTGCTAGCCTCGGGGTCGCCCCGTCCTTGCTGAGCTTGCAGTCCGCAGTCTGTTCGCTTGATCGTAAACGATCGTAAATTTCCAGCTAGAAATAATGTTTTTCTCTCATACTAAATCAGCCAGCCATAAATAATCCATGATACGATACGGCCTTTCAAACAGGCTGTTGGTCATCGTCGCCGCGCGGACGTCTCGGGTGCCGAGGCAAGAGGCGGCGAAGTCGGCCATCGCCTTGAAGGAGGTGGCGCAGAGCTGGGCCACCACGCCGTCCAGTGGCGGGGCCTCGCACTCTTTCAGGGTGGAGCGTATGGCGGCGGCGGCGGGGGAGCCGGCCGGGACGGAGAGGCGGGACAGGATTTCCGGGATTTTGGTGGAGGTGAACGGGATGGATTCCGCGCGGGCGCGTGGGAGCGCGGGTGCTCCGGTGGCGGCGCCGGTGAAGTGGAGCGTCATCTTGGAACCCGGGTACAGGTCATGGACGAGGAAGTAAGCTCTGCCCACCGAGTCCTCCTCATCATACACAGCTGAAGCTATCACGGCGCCGATCACCTGCTTGCACGTGCACAAGCAATATATCCGCGTTAAGTGTGTGTGTGTGCGCGCGCGCGCGCGCGCGTACACGAAATCTTGGACATAATAAAGAACAAGCTAAATCACGAAGGTGTTCTTTTTCCATGTTGTAGCATAACTTAATTTCTTGAATAATGAATGAATCATTGGCTGCATGCGCATACGGCTCACCAGGAGCAGCGGGAAAGCTGCGAGTGACCTCGCCATTAGAAGCTCAGAAGATGGACTGGAGCCTTGCTCTGCGGTAGAAAGCTAGCAGTCGATGGCCCGTATTTATAGGGGAGGAATCGATCGAGTGGGACGAAAACTATATCCAGTATTTATTGGGAAAAAAGGAGCTAGCTGTTCACAAAATATATTGTAGCAATTTAATTTAATATTCGTATCTTGGCATGGTGGAGATCAGATAATTGTGTGTGACCTGACCTCACCTCGCAACCTGAACATTGATAGACGAGCTGGAATACCCACTACCGGTAGTAGTGGGATGCATGCATTTTGGCCTAATAATGCACCGCTCGCAGGTCTCGTGCTTAATTATGGCGTTCCATGTTTGAGGAGGATATTTCTATACCCTAGTAATGTGTCAAGGCTTCAAGGTTAGCTATTAAGATTGTTTGGCCTCGTTCGGCCAGTGCTAAAAAAGCACTGTGCATGAATGATTTTTACTATTCATGAATGGTTCTCTCTCATAAATTTTTCTAGATTTCTCCGAGCGAATAGGGCCTTTGTTTCATCACAAATTCCTGCCGGTGTATCACTACCGGCTCCTTTGGAACTTGTAGCGGTAAGGTACTACCGAGCAAAAAAATTGAGTGGACTCTGGGTCCATTCGGTCTACTATGAGCCCCCTCCCCAGATGCATGACGCGTGGCGTGGCTCTTAATCAGGCGGCAGCTATACATAACCCCTCTCGGCAGCTCGTATTAGCATCCGAGGCCGGCCGGCTAGCTCCTGTCGGCTCGGCTCCTCCAAGGCAGGTATTGAGTCTTACAGGAATAAGATCACGGAATACGATCAAAACTACGCAGATAGATCGTGCCATCATCGCCGTGTAGGCAGTTTGCACGCCGCCGCCGCCTGAGCCGTGCAGGTAGTTGCACGACGCGTCGCCGCCGCCGCTACTGCGTGAAGGTAGTTGCACACCGCTGCAGCCGCGCTTGGATGAATCAAGCAGCCTCTATGGCCGGGCATTGGAGGCCAAGAAGACATCACAACTGTCGACTTAATGGCAACATCTTCTCTGATGGAGGCTTCATGCGCAATAGCAATTGATGGCGTCGGTGGTACCTTACGGAGATGACGAAGATCAACAATAGCAAACATGGTCTCCACTCAAAAGGAGCGAAGATATGAATAATGTCTTCAAAAAATATTTCGTAGGAAACTCGTGTTGGATATATTATGGGCTTGGCCCATATCATGTTTAATAAATCTAATAAACTCTATGGTCTGTAATAAATAGCGTGCTGGTTATGGTTTAATACCATACGGGATTTTGACTAAATGTTGACTCAATTTATATAGTTGGACATTGTCTACCTATATTGAGAAGTTGAGAAAAGGACACTGACGTGCTACACACGCGCGCGCCACCGCCACTGGCCGGGCCAGACTGGGCCGGGGACGGACGGACGGACGGACGGACGCGTGGTTTGCCAATCAAATCACATAATTACGGGAGTTTCGTCCGTTTCCCCACCGGCGATGATGGCAAGAGCTCTCTCGCTCCACTCTTCCGCTGCCCCAAAGCTTCTCCGTCCTAGTTCTTGCGCCAAGACGAGTCCTCGAGAGAGTAGGCCTCGAACGCTCGCCTTCCTTCTCTGAGTTCGCTTGCTTTCGCACAACTACTCGCTACAGGAGGACTCTGCCTCCGGTGATCGGCACTGCTACTTGTCTGCACTGCATCGAGCGGGACGACTACACCAACAGGCACTATGTCTTCTAGTGTATCCAGCTCTATGCTGGGTATGTTACTGTTAATCCAACCTTTCCCGTAAGGTTTCTGGTTACAGTCTTGTTCATTAGTATCATCTACATACTTGTCACAATTGGATCACACAAGCACATACATGATGTCATAACTTTTTGTTTATTTCTATTTTCTGAATTGAATTGCTATTGAAAATGTCTAAATTCCTAACAACTCGGTCTTTCAGAACTCCTTGTAGAGTGTGAGAAGGTTGCAGTTAGTCTCCGGGGAAATAAGTTGGATGCTGATTTTAAGTCACGCCGAAAGACCCTAGTTTCTGAACAACGATGTAGAAACTAGAGATGAACCTGCTGATCCAATACAAATGATTGTAAGACAATAGCTATTTTCACAATTTATTCACTTACAAGCATTATTTGTGAACACTTACTTATGCTGTGAAACATGATTTCAATCCTAGGCCATCTTCTACTATGGCAGCTTCGTACATGCCACACTTCAATTCAATTCCAGCTCCTTCTGGAATGGCTGCTCCATATCTATACTATAAATGATCGAAGGCATTGGAAATCCTTTGTCACCGGGTGGACTCACTTCCTACCCATCTGACAAATGGATCCATGGGAGAAGTACGGCGTGTTTCATGTACCCATGCCGCCACCGCTGGGGACGGTTCCCGCGCGTACCCGCACCCACTGCCGCGACCCCTTCGTCGTCTCGCCAGTCGCGACGCTTGGCCCCGCGCCGTACTGCTTCGGAAGTTTGGAGTCCTCCGCCCGTCAACCCTTCCGCTCGCTACGAGATTCCGCCCTGGCCCTCGGCCGGTCGCTGGCCACTGCCCCTCGCAGTCCTTCGACGGCGGCCCGTCATCGCTCTCTCCCGGCGACGCAGCCCCAGCGGCCACCACAACCGCCAGCCGGTTACGTGCGGAACGCTAGTGGCTTCACGTGACTGGGCGCCGCCACCCGGCCACCCTTGGGGAACGCCAGCGCCTTCACGTGACGGGGAGGCGCTGACGGCAGCCCGTCGTGTTGCTCTCTCCCGGCGACGCGGCCCCAGCGGCAACCACCACGGCCACAGCCGGCCACCCTTGGGGCGCCCACGGCCCTTCCCTCTGCGCTACGCGAGTCCGCACGCGCGCACTGGCCCCTCGGCCGGTCGCCGGACACTGCCCAGCCCCAGCGCCCCAGCGTTGGCAGGCTGCCCGCTGAGCTCCTCCTGAGCGAGAACGGCGACGACGTGGTCTTCGATGTTGGTGGCCGGACGTTCGCAGCACACCGGTGCGTGCTCGCCGGCAGGTTTCCTCCTTGGTTCTCTCTGTGTTTGCTGTTATGGCCAAAAGATGAACAATACAAGCTAATAGAACTTGCGCATTTCTACTAATCCATGCAGATACTTGCGAAAAATCGGAGAAAAATAATTATAGATCCAAATAATGTGAAATTAATTTTGTTACATTCATAACTTTAACCTCTACCTGTGAAAAATATGTTTGCATATGTTACTCTAACCAAAATTTCTTCATTCATTATAATGATTAATGTGCTTTAGTTTCCTTATGTGTGTAGACATAATAGGAACGTAACGCAGTAAAAATGTAGCGCTGAAGCATTTGGGGGGTGCCAAATCTATGAAATAAGTACCGACAAAGTTTGTGTAGGTATGCCTAACAATGAGTTGGAAGCTCGGGCAAAAAAACGTGAGAATCAACGAGATAGGTATGCTGCATTGCCTAGCGACGAGAAGGAGGATGTTTGGGCAAAAAAAAAAAAAAACGTGAGTATCAACGTAGTCGTCGGGCTTGTCTTTAAGAGGAAACAGGACATAGCTTCACAAGTTGGCCACTTTTGGTTTCTGCATGTATATAATGCCCTCACTATGTTAAGTTGCTAGCGGTAGAATTTTAATGAGTCAGTTCTGTGGCTATCCTTTCAGATTAGCTGACAGATGAAATTAGATTGTGCAGGATAACATGACTCAGTTGGTCATTCACCATTAGTATAGCAATATATTAAGTTAAACTCTGGACTGCGCTGATCTTCTTGAAAATATTTGAAAGGTTTATGAATTTTTTCATAGACACGTGCGTGTCGCACGTGCATTGCCACTAGTATCATAAAAGCTCTGAATAAGAACCTTATGAAATGAAACATGTTTAGACTATTTCCTTTGCTATGAATAAGAGCTGTCATGGGACCTTATGAAATGAAACATGTTCAGACTATTTCCTTTGCTCTGAATAAGAACCCGTTCAGCATTACATAATTGACAAAAGCTCTACATTTTTCTCATCTCCCATCTATGTTTACATATTTGGCAACCATCCTAGTTACTGTCAGGCACAAGACACTAGTCCTATGTTTTGGACCTAGACATCTTCAGATGCCAATAGCAGAAAAATTTGTATCTTGTCCACCATCCTATCTTGTCGTTGCCTCGCTGCTAGCTTTGGTAGGGAGGTTCGCATTCCCAATAGCACAATGCAAAGTACAATGCAGGATGGTACCTGTTCTTCGATGTTCCTTGCAGCCGGCACCCTGTACCCTGCAACCTGCAACTGCAACAAGCCAAGCAAATGCTTCAGCTTCGTTAGAACTCAGGAGGAGGATGCGGCAGCGGCGGTGCCCAGGTGGGCGCGCCTGCTCATGACTGCGTTCAGCAACCTGCTGCTGTCCTGCACGGCCGCCGACCCGCTGCTATCGCCGCCGCCGCCGCGTGCGGTCTTCGCGGCGGCCATCTAGGTGAGCGTGTCTGCTCCTAGCCGATTTGGACCACCTGCTGCTGTGCGACGCGGCCGCGAGTCCGCCGCCGCGACCTCCTACTTCGCCTCTGAGTGTTGGCTTTGGTGTACTCGAGTCGAGAAACTACGGACGAGCCGCACTCACCCCAGGAGCCGAGGAGCCGCAGTGGGCCGTGGAGCCGAGGCAGCCGACGACGTGCGCCTCTCGTCCTGGCCGTCTGATTAGGAGCCGCGCCACGCGTCATGCATCGGCGGAGGGGGCTCATAGTAGTCGGAATGGACCCAGAGTCCACTCAATTTTTTTCCGCTGAATATCCCTGCCGATTCATAGGTTAATATAATGAATGAATGTTTCTATAGTAGTGAATCGGATGTTTAATAATAACAAGGTGGCTTCTGACAAACAACAATGAGTACAGTTATCTGGCCGGAGACTGATAATCAACCATCGGTAAAACCAACCAAGGGTAAAAACTTAAGGTTGCGTTTGGTTCCACCTCCTAAATTTTAATCGCTATTTTATTAGATATTTAG